GACTTCTAGTGGTGGACCAGGAGTCATTCAAAGGTTGTGGGTTCGAGTCCCACCAGAGTCGATTTTAGTGAGTCCAATCAGAAAGTCATACAACTTTATGTAAGAACTGTCTTACACACTGGCACTTTTTAACATTTGTATGTTAAACAGCAATGGGTCTATAATTTGTAAAGGTCATTTAATAAGACTTTTATATTTTCAAAGATTACTGTTTACTGACTATTGTAAAACATTTTAATGAACTCTACTTCATCTCTTTTAAATGTTTTTGGCACTTGCTCTAAATTGGAGGGTGTTGTGTCACAATGGGCAGTACATTGGACTTCAAGGGTTAGAGAAACAGAACATTCAAAGGTTGTGGATTAGAGTCCTATTGAAATGTTTCTTATCTCAATTTAGCCACTGTCTCTCACACTTTGGCATTTTTCACATTTGTACATAACAGAGTTAAACAGCTCTGTGGCGTAATTGAAGGTGCACGGGACTTCTTGTGACAATTTGCTCAACTTTTAAATATTGAGTTTTATTTGGACGTTTAAACATCTCGACATACTTGGTCTCGATCTTCCAAATATCTTTGGCACAAAGTCTTGCATGGAGGGCTCTGTGGTGCAATGGACAGCACATTGGACTTCTAGTGGTGGACAAGGAGCCATTCAAAGGTTGTGGGTTCTAGTCCCACCAGAGTCAGTCTTTAGTGAGTCCAATCAGTAAGTAACTCCTCTCTATGTAAGAACTGTCTCTGACACACTGGCACTTTTTAACATTTGTGTGTTAAACAACAAAGGGGCTATGTAATACAGAGAACATTAAGACTTGTATATTTTCAAAGGTTGCTGTTTACTGACCATTTGAAAACATTTTAATGAACTCTACTTCATCATTCTATCATTTTTTTTGGCACTTGCTGAACAATGAAGGACTGTGTGGCACAAAGAACAGCACAATGGACTTCAGGGGTTAGAGAAACAGGACGTTTAAAGTTTGTGGATTTGAGTCCTATCGAAATGTTTCTTACCTCAAATTAGCAACTCTCTCTCATACTTTGGTATTTGTCACATTTGTACACAACAGAGCTAAAGATCTCTGTTGTGTTATTGATTGTGCACGGGACTTCTTATAGGAATTTGTTGGACTTTTGAACTTTGTTTTATTTGGACTTAAACATTCTCAACACACTTGGCCTCCATGTCCAAACATCTTTGACACATTAGGTCAAGCAGAGGGCTCTGTGGCGCAATGGACAGCGCATTGGACTTCTAGTGGTGGACAAGGAGTCATTCAAAGGTTGTGGGTTCAAGTCCCACCAGAGTCATTCTTTAGTAAATCCAATCAGAAAGTAACTCCTCTCTATGTAAAAACTGTCACTGGCACTTATTAACATTTGTGTTAAACAACAAAGGGGCTATGTAATACAAAGGACATTTAGAAATACTTGATTTCAGTCTATCAATATTTTTTTGGCTCTTGCTGAATAAAACATGTCTCTGTAGCACAATGTACAGTGCAATGAACTGCAAAGGTTAGAGAACTTTTAGATGTGGTGATTGTGGATTTGAGTCCTATTGCAATGTTTCTTATCTCAAACAAAAACCAACGCAGACGTGTTCCTGTTTTTAGTGTTTTATATTGTTTTATAATGTAGCTGTTTTTGATTCATTTTTAATATAATTTTCTTCTATTTATTTTTCAATTCATATGCTTTCTTTTATGATTGCTTACCGTTGTCGTTTTCTACTGACATAGTTTTGTTAAAAACTGGTCTCTCTTTTTTTAATGGGTCCTTGAGGCTCAATGACACTAACCAGTATAAATAAAGGTTGAATGAATGAACAGTGGACAGAGCAATGGACTTCAAGGGTTAGAGAAAGAAGAGGTTCAGTGGTTGTGGATTTGAGTCCTATTGAAATGTTTCTTATCTCAGTTTAGTGACTGCCTTTCACATTTTGGCATTTTTTTAAATGTTTACACATAATAAAGCTAAATGGCTCTGTGGTGTTATTGAAAGTGCACAGGACTTCTTATTTGAACTTTAAAAAATCACATTACACATGGTCTCCATCTTCCAAATATCTTTGACACAAAGCAGTGAATAGAGGGCTCTGTGGCGCAATGGACAGCGCATTGGACTTCTAGTGTTAGACAAGGCGTCATTCAAAGGTTGTGGGTTCAAGTCCCACCAGAGTCATTTTTTGTTAAGTCCAATCAGAAAGTAACTCAACTCTATGTAGCAACTGTCTGACACACTGGCCATTTTTAAAATGTGTACAGTAAGTTAAGCAGCAAATGAGATATAAGGTGTAAAGGACTTTTAACAAGACTGGTACATTTTTAAAGGTTGATGTTAACTGACTGTTTTAAAACATCTTAATAAACTGTACTTCATCTCAATCTTTCCCATGTTCTTGGCACTCTCAGAACAATAAATGGTTCTGTGGCACAATGGACAGTGCAATGAACTTGTAAAGTTAGAGAAGGACATTGTTCAAAGCTTGTGGATTTGAATCCCACCCTAGGCAAGCTGTTTTCAGTCCTTTGAAAGAAAACCTTACATGAATTTCAGAACAGTTTTTGACACGTTCACATTTGCTCCTTTGGGTAATGACACTGTGATGCAATGTACATTATCCTACTACACATCCTGAAGGACACATTCACAATTTGTAGTTTCCAGTTGCGCCATAGTTGTGGTTTATTGGAACGTAACTTATCTCAGTTTAGCAACCGTCTCTCACTCTTTGGCATGCTTCTCACTTGTACATAACAGAGCTGCAGGGCTTCATGTTGTAATTGATAGTGCACGTGGATTATTGAGAGAATTTGCTGGACTTTTAAAGATTGTTTTATTGGGACTTTTAAAAATATCTCCACACTTGGTCTCCATCTTCCAAACATCTCTGACACATCTTGATGGGGATCTGGCTCTGTAGCGCAATGGACAGCGCATTGGAAGTGTAGAGAGTGTCAGGGGTCATTCAAAGGTTGTGGGTTCAAGTCCCACCAGAGTCACATGTCAGTAAGTCCAATAGAAAAGTACCTTCTCTCTATATGTAGCACATTTGTCATTCTTACTATTTTTAAATTAAACAGCTAAAGGTCTATGGAATGTAAAGGACATTTAGCAAGACTTGTATATTTTCAAAGATTGTTGTTTACTGACCATTTTAAAACATCTTAATGAACTCTACTTCATCTATCAAATGTTCTTGGCACTTGCTGCATACAGGAGGGCTGTGTGGCACAATGGACAGTGTATTGGACCTCCAAGGGTAGAGAAACAGGAAGTCCAAAGTTGAGGGTTTGAGTCCAGTTGAAATGTTTCTTATCTTAATTTAGCAACCACCTCTAACACTTTGGCATGCTTTACATTTGTACATAACAGAGCTAAATGGCTCCGTGGTGTAAATTATAGTGCACTGGACTTCTTGTGAGAATTTGCTGGACATTTTCAGATCGTGTTTTATTTGTACTTTAAAAAAAAAATCTCAACACGCTTGGTCTCCATCTTCCAATCACCTTTGACACATCTCAAAGTAAAGAGGGCTCTGTGGCGCAATGGATAGCGCACTGGACTTCTAGTTGGGGAAAAGAGTCATTCAAAGGTTGTGGGTTCGAGTCCCACCAGAGTCATATTTTGGTTAGCCTCCCTGAAATGCATTTGTCTCTGTCTTTTTTTTTCTACAATATTTATTAAACTAAATGAATTAGAATTAATATACCAGCAGCTGAGGAAACCGTGTATATATTTCTACTGAGAAACAATTAATCAGAGAAACCGTTGAAACACTAAACGAGACGCGTTACCTCGGACAGTTTCTGGCACATGTTGTCCTCCCAGCCATCTTCAGGAGGCATTTCTGGAATAAAGACCCAATCTGCTCCACAAGCCAGGGCACTGACCAAAGCCAGGTATCTGTATACACACGTGCACATTATTTAAATACAATCGAAACATCACTTATAGCTAGTCAGTACAGACGCAGGTCGCGTGTTACGCTTAAACAGAAAATTAATGAAATTACTAAACGGCTTTAGAATTTGTTGTTTGCACTGATGTGGAGGATTTCTGTTGCTGCAGTAAATTACATAAACATAAATAATAAACGCACTATATGCCTAAAAAGATGTTCCTTGTTTTATTGCTTTTACCCGCAGTGTCTGCCCATAACCTCCAACACAAACGTCCTCTGATGACTGAAAGAAACAAATAAGTGTCAAAAACACATTTATTGGATTTATCTTGTGCACTTTATTAATCTGCCTTTTTAGAACATCACATATTGGTCAAATGAACGAGTGTTTTGTCTTTGTTTATGGGACTTCCTGGATTTGTTTACCTCTGAGCGGTGGTCATGATGGCATCCACCACCTCAATGATCCGATGGAGGGCGGAGTCAGTGCCGATGGTCATGTCTGTGCCGCAGAAGTCGTTGTCAATAGAGCCGACCATGCCCACAATGTGAAGCTCTGAATGACTGTGAACGGCCTCCTCGTCTATGAGCCCTGAAGAAAGACCAGAACGTGACTCTTTATGTAGTAATGTAGAGATGAACCCAAAGAAGTGTCTGCAGGGGGCGAGCACCTTGCTCCTGGAGCTCGTTCAGCAGGCTGCTCCACTCCTCCCTGAACAGGTTGGCTCCGGTCAGGCTGCCGTCTCCTCCAATCACACACAGGTTGGTGATGCTGCGCTGCACGAGGTTGTGAGCAGCTTTCAAGCGTCCCTCGCGGGTTCGAAACTCTTTGCAGCGAGCACTGCCGATGACGGTGCCACCCTGGCGACGAGAAGACTCGTCCTTACACTTGTGTTCAGTGTTACATACATTTCATCATCAACAATACCTTGTAAGTTATCATCTTTTAAAAGATTTAGATGAACACATGGAGTTATGTTAGTGAAAATACAGTAAGTACATGAAAGGCATGTCATGGTGCACAACCTCCTGACATGTTCACGCATGGCTCAGTGGGAATTTTATCTGAAGGAGTTGAGTGCAGGATCCGTGATAACCGCCGGCATTTTAAGGAGCCGCTGCTTCTGCTGGACTGTGCCATTTATTCCATATCAAACACTTTCCATGTAAATGTAAAAACAAGCCTTTAAATAACCAGTGCAGTGTTTTTCAGCGGAATCGTTTCCACAGACTTTACGGGAGGACGTACAATAAGTAACGATCGCCTGGAGGTCCGTGTTTATTACAAACCTCCAATAACTTCAGTTTCATGAATAAAATGGAACATTGTGTTTGTCAGTATTTTTATTTTTTCCCAGTTTGCTTTTATTAAACCAGGAAGATCCCATTTATACACAGCTCTGGAGCAAACTTGGAAACCAATGCAAAATTATCTGATCTTCAGATTTTCTCTCATTTAACAGTTTAAATGATAAATGACACTATTTTGTTCTGTTCTATAATCTAGATTTGAGGCATTTATTCAAGGTCAAGATCAAGGTTCTTTATTGTCATTCGCAGCACATGTGGTACATGAGGTGGAACGAAATTGTGCACACAGTAATAAGGATCAAAGATATGAACTAAGAATATGCTAAACACATAACAGTGCAAAAATTGTAACAACCCAAACAACAGCAGCACGAACATGAGTCTGTGTGAGCAGATGCGTACGAATGAACACAGCAGCATGAAATAAATCAGCAGCATGAGATCAGCAGCATGGATAATCAGCAGCACATGTCAACAATCAAAGTGTTGGTTACAGAATTCACAGATTACAGTCAGAATAAAATAAAAAGTGCAGAATTTTCAAAACATGCAATAGAAACAAGATTATAATCATCTTTCGACATCACAACACTAATGTTTAACTTGGAAAGAGATCAGAGCTCAACATTCGGTGCAAAAACTTTAAATTTGTAATCCCAGCTTCCGTGCATCTTGGCAGGCTCTCCACCAGTCTTTTACTGGGCGATTTGTTGTCCTCCTGGCACAAGAGTTGAACCAGCTCAGCTCTGGTTGACCATCCATCCTCCTCCTGATGCTGTTCCAGATGTTTTCACAGGGTCCAGGCCTGCTGGTCCTTCAACCACTCCTGAACCTCACTGAAACCCTGTTTCTCACTGTAGCACTCGGCCAGTTAACCAACCCTGAACCCTTCTTTTTCCTCACTCAAACTTTTCTTTTTAACTCTTGACTCATGGTCAGGATTGAACTTTTTTATTGGGTGAATGTTTATGATGCATTCACTGATACATTTTTCTTCTGTACAGTGCGATTCTCGTCCCGCAGTTTTCATCTCCTTCAACAAATCATGAATCAAAACGTTCAGCTCTTTCAGGACAATCCTGCTCTGACTTTTGGTATTGGTGCAACTTTAGCTTTTTGAAATATTTAGCCTTTTCTGTCATTTTACCTCAGAAGATGAATTGAGCTCATTTTACATCCTTCAGATCTTCAGATGTGTTTACAACCTTTTACTGCTCCTTTCACATTTTGTTCTGCTTCAGCTTCCTTGTTCAAATTTAAACATATTTCAGCTACGTTCAGCTAATTTCAGCTGTTTTGTGCTCCTTTCAGATTCTTTCTGCTAACTACAATATTTTTGTGCTTCTTCCAACTTCTTTCAGCTGATTTCAGCTTGTTATGCTCCATTTAGCTTATGTCTGCAAGTTTAAACTTTTTCTGCTATTTCAGCTGCTAGTTTGCAGTCTTTATGCTAATTTTATAATGTTCAGCTAATTCTATATTTTTTGCACTTATTTAAATTTTTTCAGCCTAATTCAGCAAAAATATGCTCTCTCTCTACCTCCTTTTGGTAAATTAGACTTCTTTATGCTTTTTTAGCAAATATTTAGCTGTTTATCATTAACCCTCAGTGCTGAGGGTTCTGGTGGAGGAGAAGTTGTGGATCCTCGCTGACTATGGTCTGTTTGTTAAGAAGTCTAGTACCCAGTTGCAGATGGAGGGGCTTAGTCCTAGTGTGGATAGTTTGTCCATCAGGGTTTGGGGGATCATGGTGTTGAAGGTGGATGTGAAGTCCACAAAGAGCATACGGACGCAGGAGTCCTTCTGCTCCAGGTGGATGAGAGCAGAGTGGACCACAGAGGAGATGGCATCCTCTGTTGATCGGTCCTCACGGTATGCGTACTGATGAGGGTCCTCGTTGATGTTGATGGTTGTTTTGATGTGAGTCAGGACCAGTTCTTCGAAGCATTTAGTGACTATCGGGGTGAGGGCTACTATCAGCCTAATTAACTTTTTTATGGTAATTTCAGCTTATTATGTTCCTTTCAACTTAATTATGCTCAACTTTTTTGCTATTTCAGCTACTATTTAGCTGTTGTTATTCTAATTTCAGCTTTTCCAGCCAGTTCAACATTTTTTAGCTCATTTCAGCCCCTTCTGATAGTTTAAGCTGATTTCTGCTATTTTTTGTTGTTGCTAATTTCTGATTATATTTAGCTCAATTCTGCTTATTTAAACCTAATTTAGCAAAGAGGTGTTCTTTATGCATTCTTCTGATTGGCTTATTCTTCCATTTCTGCTACGTTTCAGCATGATTTTAGCTCATTTCAGCTGTTTCTCAGCAAGTTCTTCTGCAATAAGCGTTCACACTGCATTTTCACAGGAAATGCAATTTCTCTAGTTTCTTTTCCTTTTGCGTTAGTCGCACTGTTTCTGCCATTCAGCTGCTCATCCTGCTGGAGGTTAACATTAAATATTTGGTTCAGGTGATCGTCTAATCAATACCTGGGTAAATAGAATGAGGTGTGCTCGTGTTAAAAGCCAACAAACACCAGAACGGAACAGATGTCCTTGAACAGAAGTCGTCCTTGAATTTGTTTCAGAGCTGTTCTTTTCCTAAAACTCCAGATCAAGATGGCCTGGATACTAAAAAAAAGCAAACCAGTTAAAACGATCTACTGGCGTGGTAATCAATTTGTAGAAAGAATAATCTTCTTAGTCCTTACACTTCTCCTCACATTCATTTCTCCCACGTATCTTAGCTACTTCCAGAGCCGGAGGATGTGACAAAGAAGCTGAGGTCGTATTCATGGTGTCACAGAAAGGGCTTTTCATCCAGAAACAGTGGTGGTCCTCGTTTGCTCACTAAGATTCAGGCGTTTTGATTGGCTGGAAACCAACCTGACCAAAATAGAACAACTCACCTGGAAAACAGCCAAAACCTTCACAAACACAAGCTGATAACAAATATAGAGGTTTTAATTAAAAATTTAAAAAAATGGACACGTACATATTAAGGATGCTTAAACAAAAGTTATGTATCAATTATTTCTGGAACTGTTGCATTGACTTTCTTCAGCTGATTGTAGTGATCGAAAGTATTTGTTTTTATCTAAGTTTAAATAAGCTCAAGCAATAAAAATCTGATAATAGCTAAATGAATGCTTTATTGTCACTTTTAATCATCTTCAGAGGGGATTCCTCAGTCGTTGGTGCCGCTCTTGGAGCGATAATTAGAGCATCAACAAAGAATCGGCTTCATTAATGCAAACTCCATTTGCGTCTCTGGTAAAAGGTGCATAAGGGCGACATTGTTTACGGCACGTAGCAGCAAACATGGTGTGTGTGTGCGTGCGTGCGTGCGTGCGTGCATGCGTGCGTGTGTGTGTGTGTGACCTGAAAGTTAAGCATGTTGTTCTGCTCACCACTTGCAACATGCTGGAGACGCTTTCCCACGTCGCCTCCTTGATGTTGTCTCCCCCGTCCACCATCCCCTGGTACCCCTGAGGCGAGAAACAAACAACGGTTTAGAAAACAACAACAACATAACTTTCAAACAGTAAATGAATTTGGTTGTTTTATGTTGTTAAAACAAAATATAAAGCAAAGATAATTTAGCTTGAACCAAAATAACAACAACAACAAAAAAAGGATTTTAAAAAAAGGCACCTCACCCTTTCACAACTATGAGGTGCCGTTTGTAAAGTTACACAGTCAAAAATTAAAAGCAATATTTTGGTTTATTTAACCCTTCATAAGAAAAAAACAGTTTTTTGTTGAAAGTCATATTTTCACCATGTCATTCATACATTTATAAATGTCATAGTTCCAAACTAAATATTTAATTTAAAAGCTAAATATTTAGTTTAAAAACTAAATATAAATTTAGTTTACAAATTAAATATTTAGTTTACAAACTAAATATTAAACTTGCAAGCTAAATATTTAGCTCCATGCTAAATATTTAGTTTACAAACTAAATGTTTATGTCCAAGATAAATGTTTAATTTACAAACTAAATCTTTAACTTGCAAGTTCAATATTTAGTTAGTGAAATAAAATTTAAGTGTAAATTAAATATTTAATTTCCAAGCTAATTATTTATTTTCAAAACTAAACATTTGATTTCCAAACTAAATATTTATTGTGCAAACTAAATATTTAATTTCCAAACTAAAAATTTAATTTCTAATCTAAACATTTAAGTTCCAATATAAATATTTAATTTGCTACCTAAATATTTAGCTCAGACCTAAATATTTATTTTCCAAGCTAAACATTTAATTTCCAAAATAAATATTTCATTTGCTAAATAAGTATTTAGCTCAGACCTAAATATTTAAATTCCAAACAAAAAATTTAATTTCCAAAATAAATATTTAAATTGCTAACTAAGTATTTAGCTCTGACCTAGATATTAATTATTCAAGATAAACATTTAATTTAATTACCAAAATAAACATTTAATTTGATAACTAATTATTTAGCTCGGACATACATATTTATTTTCCCAACTAAACATTTAATTTCCAAAATAAATATTTAATTTGCTAACTAAATATTCAACTTACAAGCTAAATATTTAGTCTTTAAATTAAACATTTAGCTTGTACATAAACATTTAGTTTGTAAACTGAATATTTAGCTTGCTAACTAAATATTTAACTTGCAAGTTAAGTATTTACTTTGTAAACTAAATATTTAGCTTGTAAATTAAATATTTAGTTTGGAACTATGCAATTTATAAATGTATGAATAACATGGTGACTGAAAAAAATATTTTTTTTCTTACGAAATGCAAAATAAACCAATATATTGCTGTTAATTTTTGACTGTGTAACTTTACAAATGGCACACCATACACACAACATTCTGAAAAAGTTGTTTAAAATGTAAATACACACAGCATGCAATGATTTACAAAACTTATAAACCCATATTTATGACAATAAAACCGTAAACATATCACATGTTTAGACTATAAAAACTGTACAATTTCCAGAAGAAGAAAAATGTAATTATTATTTTGACAGCAGCAGCACATATAAAAAATAGCTTTTGTAACTAATTGAGTTAAATAGTGACCAGGTCAGTAAGATTATAAAAAGAAACAGACCATTTTAAAGAGCATGAAGGAAGAGTTCACCAGTGGGTGAACAATTGTGTCAGAAGTGGAACCATTTCATAATATTTATCCCCATGAGGAAGATTTGAACCTTCCATCAGCTCCAGTTTATAACATTGTCAGCAGATTAGAATAATCTGTAAAAATCTGAGCTCAAAGGATGAGGCTGAAGGTCAATATTGGATGGTCATGATCTTCGGGGCTGTCACAATCAGTTGTTTTGAAACAAAAGGTGCAAGCAGGACTCAAAGGTAACTCAGATAATAAAACAAAAATGATTTTTTTTTTTTACAAAACGAGAAAACACAAAACTGCTGACGGAGCAGCGACTCACTAATAAACAAACTACGACCTGAGACACAGGAGAGCTCGGCATTTAATTATCCAAAACACGAAGCGCCTGGTGAGGAGGCAGGTGAGCAGGCACAGATCCCCTCAGGGGCCCTCAGGGGCCCTCCATGCATTACAGCAGGTTTGGTTCTGTTCTGGACTACACTGCATGGGCTCAGGAACACGTCCACAGATCTTTGTCTGTAAACACAGCTCACCGTGTCGTCCACAAACACTGCTTAAAGCTCTATCGTGCAAAAACAAGGTAATATTTAAACATCATCAAGAAACTTTAGCTGCAAAGTTGAAAATTTGCGTAAAAATAACTCTAAATACTGTATATATATTTTTTCAATCAGTGTTTCAGGGTTACTGTGAAGAGAGCTTCAAAAGCTACCAAAATAAAAGCACCGTCTCTAATTCTCCACAGCCCACTTGTTGATTCAGATGAGGACGCAGCCACTGAAGGACCATCGTGACTCTGCTAATCCAAGTATATCCACACTGAGCCCAGATCAGGTCCATCTGCTCCTGACTGCCACACCAAACACAAACAGCATATTCCTCTGTCTTTAATCTGGTAATATTGTCTTTAATCTGTTAATATTGTTCTTAATCTGTTAATATTGTCTTTAATCTGTTAATATTGTTTTTAATCT